TATATATATATATATTTATATTTATATTTATATTTATATTTATATTTATTTATTTGGTACCGGGGATCGAACTCGGGACCTTTCACTTGCGAGGCAGGCAGCAGATCCTCTGAGCCAAATCCCTGGCCCCTCCTAGTATTTTTATGTACCAGAACTTTAGACTTTCCTGGGACAATCCTAATAAGCTCTGAATAGTATGTTAATATTGACATGAAAAATTCATATTAGATTCCACAGACGCTCAGCATTCTTATTCTGATCAGTAGCTGTGTGCACACACATTCAGTCAGGTAGAAAGCTTTAAAAGTCGTCTTCATCTTATGGTATCTTTAGTTGTTCATGGACAGATGCTGGAATCACAGTTTATACAATTAATCTTTAGATGGAGCATCTTTTTTCAGGTGGAACTCTGATGTATTTGTTTTAGTGGAAAGATGGCATATAGGTTCCCTTAGAGTTAGGAGGAAGGGTAATGAGAATATGTTGTATAAATACATTTGTATCTTGTGGGAATTTGATCAGATTCAAATTAATATGGGCCTCTACAGTATTTTTTCGTGTATTGCCTGTATCTTGTTTACATGTGCATCTTCTTCCCTAGTTATTTATCTGTCTATCCAGCTCTGCTATATGAAATTTTATAGTGTATGGAGCTGTCTGACAGCAGAGCTTTTTTTGTTTTACTGAATGTTTTGTTGGTACATATGGTCTGACATGGATGAGCAGCCACCGTGAGATTTTGGAGTCTATTAAACTGGCTCATTAAAAAGATCAATCTGTTTCTGTAATAACACTGGGAGCCATCAGTCACTAAAAGAGGGAAAAACTGACACCTGAGGAGAAAACACATTTTGGTAATTTGTTCATGACATGTCACGAACAAAAGAGCGCTCTATATTTTGTTTACAACTTTGGGGGTTTAAATTCTGTGACGATTGCTGAGTTAATGTACTAAGCAGTCATTACATGTGTCAGGGATGGGCTTTGGCAGATTTAACTTTCTTCTCATCCTTAAATATTATTGTTAATTTTTTCTTTTTAAAATGTTACTGTTGTTTACAGACGAATTCATACTCCAGGGAAATCGCCGAATTTTTCCCCCCTTTCTTTATTTTTCCCTGTATAGGACAGTGAAATATTTTCTAGTTTCTTTTACAAACAGCTCAGGGCATCCCTAATTTGTAGATCTGTGGTAGAATACTGCAGAGCCCAAGTTTGCAAAAGACAATTTTCTTTTAAAAATCATGCTGTTTTACCCAAAATATCAGGGAAAGAGAAATTATGATTTGTATTCTTTGTAGTTACTGTGTAGGTTTGTAATTTGTCCTAGATCTCTATTCTTTTGTCATTCTGTGATGCAACATGCTGAAAAGGGGAGCCGGAGCTTTTCTTGGGGTCAGTTAAATGAAGGGAAGCCTCACGTATAGAGACTGGAAGTTCTGGGCACTATAAACCTCCCTGCGCTTACTCATAAGGACACTTACACCTCTCCACGCACTGAAGAGGGAAGTACAGTTAGACAGTGCCCCACTTCATGGAAGCTGTAGAGTGGAGGAAAATTACACAGTTTTAGAAAAAAAATGCTTGTCATCCCTGTCCTTCCTTTCTGACAGCCTTAACACTGAAGCTCTTTTTCAGATTTGCATTTAAATTGTGTTCTCACCTGTTATGCTCCTTTTCTGACCCAGAGGGTTTTTCTTGCTAAGAAACCAAATGCAGTGACCTTTGTTTTTATTTGGGTGTAATTATTTTTGTTGTTTTTCTCTTTTCCCTTATTATCTCAAATGATTGATCAAATCCTGTTCTCATTCATCATCATTTTAACTACTGTGCTACACAGTAGCTCCACTTTAACACTTCTAGAGCTCTGATAAAAAAGCACATTTAGTTGGATTCATAATGTTTTTGCTCCTCCCCTATAGTTAGATATTTCCTAAAAAGATTTTCTTGAACCTTAAAATTACATAGTTTGTTACCTGGGAGAGATCTTATGGCTGTACCAGCCCAATCCCTCCTCTTTCTACTTGGAAAAGTAAAGCTCAAAGAATGTGCTTCAAGTCACAATGCATCTTGGTTGAGAAACCAGCAAATTTACATATTCTAAATCTCCCAGATGCAAAAGATGTTCTTATGTGCAGGATTGAAATAAGGAAAGCACAACTAAGAACTGGGTTTTTTCCTGACTTTCATTTATTCCTTTTCTATAATTACTCAAGTGGGTAACTGCCATAGCATAATACTCTGAGGTTTTATAAGTCATTTTAATGACAGAAGAGACCCAGGAAGCCAAGTTTCTTGGCTTAATGAGTGTTAGAAAATGCTGAAGGCTGGAGGGTCAGAAAGCAGTCGTTTTGAAACAGTGTGGGTGGAATTTGTGAGATTGTCATCCTATTGCCCATCAGCCAGACTGAGGAGGTCCACTTCTTGTCTGTGAGTTTCAATACTTCCATCTTTCGAAAGAGGAACATTAGGTATTCTTTGCAAGAAAGTAGTACAGTTAATTGCACAAATAAGAATTCAGTTCTTACAATCTATTGCACTTAGTATTCTATGGAAAAACAGATATATTAATCCTTTCTTGTTTTGTGTTGCATCTTTTATGTTCCTCAGCTTTTAAAGTGTGTTACCCCTGTAATGATTATTTTTTATATTAGTCACACCAGTTGTGAAGCCCACTAGTAGAGAGAGTGCTGGCTTGTGTTTATATGTAAGAATGACAGCATGGTTGTTGAGGACGTTCTGATCTCCTCACATCTCATCCTCAGCCTTAACTAGGGGCTTACTTGCTTCTCTTCTTGGTAAAGCCCTACAGAATACACTTCATGCCTTGGTCTGTATTCCTATGCATGGTTTTTGTTCCACTTCCCACTTATCTGTCTTGACTTCTTCATATTTCATAGCCTGACTCAGTGTCTGTTGTGTGAATGATGGCTTCCCAGTCCTCAATATTCTTAACAGTTACCATCTACTGAGCACTTAAGATGTG